GACTGCAGTGGCGCTTCGCGCCATGTACCTTGGTCCTTGAAGACTGCTATGCAGGCGGAAACGGCAGGAAGGTCAAACGGACGGTTTAACGATAACTCCTTGCTGCCTTTTTTTGCATCGTCGTTATAATAATGTTGTTCGTGATCCTTCATCTATGGTTTTTGTTCCTCATTCTCGCCGTACCCTGGGCATTCTCCCCATCCTCCTCAGCTCTTTTTGCGGAGGCTCCTCCTTGGAGAGCCTCTGGGAGCTTCACCAAAGTTCTCAAGCTTTCTTAAAGCCTTCTGGATGCCTCCTGGGCGTGTTCTGGGGGCCTCTGGGGCTTCCTAAGGCCAGCCTGCCTCTAACCGCGGTCTCCCTGAACGCCCCGGTCACGATTTGGAATGCTTCGGAGGGCCTCTTGGGGCCATTTTGGGCCGCCATGGGGCTCTCTTAGGGCCATTTTGGACCCCTGGTGTGCCGGTTTGGCGCTCTCTTGGGCTGCCTGGAAGCCCTTTCGGGTGGCTGTGGGGCGATTTTGGAGCCTCCCAGGCGATTTCGGACGCCCAGAAGACTGCTGTCTTGGAGCGTCGGGAAGCCGAAAAGAGGAGAACCCCAAATTCACCAAAAACCTGCATTAAATCAATGGTTTGTCCCTCTTGGGGCCTTCTTGGGGGCGCTCTATTTCCGGGTATGACGGTTTCTTGGAGCGCTCCTGTGTTGTCTTAGGATTCTCCGGGACGTTTCCGATGACCCCCCTGATCGCCCTAGGTGTGCTGCGAAGGTTTGGCAAAACGCCCTGCGAGGCCCGGGGGGCCGCTTCGAGGCCCGTCCGAAGGGTCCCAAAGCCCCAGATCCTGGCAGTCAGTTTTTTTTTTTGGGGGGGGAACGTTTTTTCCCCCTTCCCCCCGCCCAGGCTTTTAAAATATAGGAAGAGGAATACGTGTGTATATATATCTATATATGTCTATGTATGCATATATATATATATATACATATTATATATATACTCACCTATAGTCACGCCTACTGCGAAGTACACATGCGCGCGTACACGCCGACAGACTGCGCGAAACGCCCACACGCATGAAGAAACAGCATGCGAAATCAGCACGCTACACGAAATGCCTACAGATGGCGCTTGCGACAGCCCGCGAAGAGTCGTATCTTAGGTGCAAGAGCACCCCTTGTTGGAATGGGGCGCCCTGTGCGCATCGGCGACGTCCGAGACGGCAGTCCTTCGCCGAGCCGCGACCCACCAACCCAGCGTCGCTGTTACGACGCAGTCCCGATCGATTGGCCATGCCCAGCTCTCAGAAGGGGTTGCGCCAAGAGGGCCAGATCCCGATGACTCGCTTGGGAAACGTCGCTTTGCGACCCCCCTAAAGTCGCCCCGCGACCCGTGTTGATGCGACCGCCGATCCTGAACCAGGAGGTGACCAATCTTCGTGATTCGAAGGGAGGCATGAGGTTTGCCCCAGACCTCCAAGACCTAGGGCACCTGGTCAGGACGATCCCACAGCAGGGGCGAGCAGCCACGATATCATGCGCGATGCTCCTCCTGCTCCTGGGCGCGGAAACGCGCCTGCCAGCGGATCCGGCGATCCACCTCAGGTATTTGCTCGTCAGGGGCCATGTCCAGCTTGTGGCTCCACGGCCCGACGCTGCACTTCCCTGGTGCTGCAGACAACCCGAGTCGTGCTGCACGGAATCCACGAGCCAACGCCGGCCCAGGTCCTCCTAGGCATTCTGATGGGCCAAGCTTCAACGTGCAAGTTAGCCTGCAGAAATTACGTAGATACGTCCCAGCTGTGATGAAGAAGCAGTTTAGTTTCGGAAGCTACACCTGCGGTGGTACCACGCTAAAGATCTTTAGATGCGCACGATTCTGAGCAGCGCTGGACGTTTGTGACGCTCTACTTGTCTACCGACAGTCTGCATGTGCGAACTTGCAGAGGAAAGGGCCGATCATCTTGACCTTCATCCACGCATTCTTCCTTCGGAATCGCAGCCTACGGGGCAGCAGTGCACCATGTGACGCTGCCGCGTTGCCTTCGACGTTTGCCCCGCCTTCCATCCGACCCCCTTGTTTTGCAACCGACATCGGCGCCAGCGGCAGGCCGCCAGTCGGTCAGTGAACGCAAGTGTTTGTCTATGATTATGTCGGGCCTGTCCCTTTACAGGAGGAATATTCAAAGATAGTCAAAACATGCTCTGGTGACGATTGTTGTTAGCATTTTTGTTTTTTGTTCGAATATTTTTTAAGTATTCTTAATTGTTCTTCCAAAGTCCGCCTTTAGGGGGACATGTTTGGCCTAAGTGTATTCCCAGATCTCAATATTCATTTTCGGCGCCACCCTATCTCAAGAGCCAAGTGGTCTTATTGTGTCTTTCCTCAGGGTGTGGGCGGAAGCTCTACCTTTTTTGAATTCCGTCCTATTTCGTTATGCGTGCAGTTCTCTTTCGAACGGCGGGTAGATATTCCGGGGAAATTGGAACTTGCCGCTGGGTTAGTTCCATGGGCGCTCGAGTCCCGCCGCCCGTGCTAGGCAGCCCCGGCGCCCCTTCGCCCGTATCCGCAATTGCGGGGTTTAGGTAAATCGGAAAGCGAACGTCGCTTGATGGTTTTGGGTGTCTGGGCTCCCGCCTCGGACATCGTTCGGCATTCTTGGGGTCTCGTGTGAGGCCTCTTCAGCTTTTCTTGAACCTTCTTGGGCGTGTGGGGTCTTTTTGCTGAAACATTATTGGAAGGCATTTCGGGCATATTGGAGGCGTCCGAGAACTTGGATGCCCAGAGGGCCCATGAGGTGCGTTTGGACAACTCGTGCCCTAGCGGCCGCTCCGCCTCTTCTTCGGGATATTGGGCCCGTGGGAATAAGAAAAAGAAGAAGGAACAGAGAAGAAGAAGAAGGAGAAGACGAAACATAAGAAGGAACAAAACTAAGAAACATGTTCCAGGGGGCCAGTGAGACATTTCACGCGCCTTCTCACCCTTGTCGACCGGGGCGTGCTGACTTCACGTCAATTCCTGCCAGCTTTTGTCCTCTTCCTCGTGTTCTTCCCCCCGCTTTCCCTCTGGATCCTACTTCTTGAACGAGTCCACTGGCGATGACAGGAGTGACCAAGGAGGGGGGAGGGGGCAGGGGGGGTCATGCCACGATTCGCGCTGGCGCCGTCCTGGGATGCCGAGAGATGGCAAATTCTCAGTCGGCGCTGGCGCGAATCGATGAACGTCATGACGGAAAATCGAAGCACTTGTTTTTGATATAAAAATGACCTACAGCACCGAAGTTGTTTTTAGCGCTTTCAGTCTGCCAGTCGCCGAAATTATGAATCGGAGAAAAAACACACAGGGCGATCTCAGTATGAGCCAGGATGCGAAGGACCCACGGCTTTCCATAGGGTGCTCTTGCGTGCTTGCCTCGGCGGCCCGTCCTTGGCCTTTTTCGCTGCCCAAGCCTTCAGGGTACCCCTGGGGTTTGAGCGACGTCCTTCGGCTGCTTGGCGTAACGCCCATTCGGCAAGGACGGGGGTGGACGACTCGTGGGCCATTTTCGTTTCGATGTCGTTTTTTGCCGTGAAGGCGGACTGACGGCAAAACGAGGGAAAGCGAAAACACAACGAAAGCGCAAAACCGTGTTTAGGTCCAGCCTTGTGGGAATCCTCCCCCTCGGGGCGGTCACAGCCTCCCCGCCTCTTCCTGGCGGGGGGCGCGGCAGGGCCGGCGGCCCAGCGGGCGAAGCCCCGTGCGAGGTGCCGCGGCGGTGTCGCGCGGGGTGTGTGCTGACTCGGTGCCGTGTGGCGGCGGGCGTCGTCGGCTGCCGTGGTGGTGGCGCGACGTCGCGGCAGCACCGTGGTGTCGTGGCGAGAACATCAAGGAATCGTTTCGTTTTCGACGTTTTCCGTTTTGCCCATTTTCATTTCGGGCGTTTCCCGTTTCCGCTGTTTCCAGTTTCGGTCGGTTCTCGAAGAACGTGGGACTTGGAGCCGGCTGGGGGTCTGAGGTGGCCCAGCATCGGTCCCAGCGAGCAGGAAGGGGGGCCAGATTCGAGGTTTTGGTTCGAGCAGGATGCTTGCCTTCTTCGGTCCCAGGGGGCTTTTTTTCAGGCCCAGGGACCATCAGAAACGGATCCGGGGTGAGCATGTGCACCAGATGGATCCCTGGAGGAGTCTGGGCATTGATTTTGAACCGATTTTGCTTCACCCCCCCTCCGGACCGATATTCTCGCGTCCCAACCAATTCGAACCGCCCAGCCGCTTCCAGCGGCGTGGGATGACGTGTGTTGGTACGATCGAAGTGGAGATGGCCACGGAAAGAACGGGTACGAAGGCCAAAAGCAGTTCCTATTCATTTTGAACCGGGTTCGCTATTGCTGTCGCCGCAGACGTTGTCCGTTGAAGGCAAAAAGTCGCCTGCCCACCAGCGGCCGCTGCCGATTTTGGACAATTGTTGTTGAGCATCGTACGCATTTTCTCCATACCCATGTCGGATGTGCCAAACATGTCGCCTGGCGAGAGGCACGCTCGCGTCGCAAAACAATTGCACGACGGGAGATTGTTGGCCCTTTTCCTTTTCTGGGAGCCCTCGTTGGGCCGTCAGAAAAGATTCGCGATGAAAAATCAGCCTTGGGCAAAGGGTCGGGACGTCCAGGGACCCCGTATTGATGGGGGTCGTGTGGGACGGTGTTGCGGTGGTTTGGTGCGGCGTGTAGCGTGACGTGTGGTGAATGGTGTGGTTTGATGCGACGTGTGGCTTGATTTGTGGTGTGTTGTGGGGAGGTGCCGTGTGCTCGTATGTGTCGTGTGCCGTGTGCCGTGTCGTACGGTGTTTGCGCAGTGCGTGTGGTTGCTGGGTGTTGTTGTCCATCGCCGTGGTGTGCGGCGGTGCGCAGGTTCGGGAGCAAGCCCGCCGCAGCGCAGAGAAGGGTTTGGCTATCCATGCGCAGGCCGTCCACGCAGTCGTCCCCCGCGGCCCCCGTCGGACTGCGCACCGTGCGCGGCCAGCGTCGCGCACGCAGCAGGCTCCTGCTCGGCCTCTCGGCGGCCGACGAGGTGCCCGAGATGGTGGGGCACTTCGAGGACTGCGAGGAGGCCGCTCGCCTCGGGGATGGCTGTCGATGGCGACGGCTCTCTTAGCTGTTGACGGCGAACCTCTTTTCCCTCGCCGTACTGTTCACGATTTCGCAGTGTCGTGGTGGCGATGACCTCGGCGACGGTGACAGTGACGAGGGTGGTGACAAGGTGGCGGCGACGATGTTGATGATGATAAGGAGGACCCCCCTTCCCACCCACCAGGCGGCTCATGTATCTTCATAGTTTTGTTCCTGACTGCCAGCGCTCGTGCTGCACATGATTGAGTATAGTCCGGTCACGCAGAGCATGCCGCTTCGTGTGTGGCGAGTGCATGCGTTCGTGGTAATTCATGGCGTCTTGAGGCTCACATCGTCGGAACCCTTGCCTACCGTCTGGACGAGGACGGACAGAAGTTCCCATCTTTTCTACATGCTAAGCTGTTGCTGATCGTGCCGTCCTTGATGCGGAAAGCGGTGGGGTTGGCGCCGGCGACTCCAACGACGATGCCCGTCCCCACGGGAGGAGCAGGACGACGACGACGATGACGACGACGGATCGGCGGAAATCGGCAGCCAAGTCGGAAGAAGTCGAATCGGCGGAAATCGGCAGGCAAGTAAGGCCTCCATTGGACAATTGAGACCTGGACCGCAATCGATCAGCGCAAAAGAATTAACGACAGTTGTCTCAGAGATGGCCGTGCCGGCATAGGCAAACAGCGCGATTATCTCAACGTTGTTGCCCACTAAGCCTGAGTGATAGCAACCTCGCCCACGGCGGTGACGAAGGTGGCAGGGTACCTGTACTGCAAGAGGAGGTCGTCGAAATCGAAATCGAATGAGCCCTGCCCCCTCCGGGCACAACCAAGAAACACAACCAAAACCAGGTGGATTCTTCGGGAGGGCCCATCGGGGAAGAACCCACTGACCTCGACATGAACACTTTGGTTGTGGTCCTGGGACGCCACATTGACCACAACCAGCATTAATCTGGCTCTGGTGTTCTGACGATTGTTGGCATGCGCAAGAAATCACCCTGGGTGTGTTCTTGATGTGGTTGTGGTCGCTTGCTGCCCCCGCAGTGGTGTTCGGGTCCTAAATCGGCTCTCCAGCGGCCGTTCGGGACGATCCGGGCACCCCTGGAACGCGATCGGCTAGGCGCAGCTGACTGTTGGAGAGCACCCCGAGGCCGGAAGACCGCTGAGAACCCACGACATCGGGCACGTGGTGATGAGGCGTGATCTACATGGGGGTGGTGAAGACAGGGCCCATTTCTTGACCCCCCATGTATTAGGTCCCCCCCATCACCACCCGCCCGAGAGAACGTCCGAGAACCTCGAACCTCGAAGATCGCCTTCGTAGCCTTAAGTCGGGCCTGTCCCTCCACAGGCGGACTAAGCCCAAATAGTACAAAATAAAAGTCAGGGGACGATGTTCTGCTATGTCTGACTACTTTGGAGTTTCTTTTGACGTTTTTTTCTGCCCAGAATCCGCCTGTGGGAGGACATGCCCGACCTAAGCGCAGCCACCCCCCGGTGGCCGTGCCGCGGCAGGCTGCACGGGCGCTCCTGCTCGCCCGCGGCCACTGCGGGCCGCGGCACCCCACGCTGGACGCCCTGGAGGCGCCTCGGCTGCCTGGCGGAAGTCAAGTGGCCGGGCACACGAAGGGTTCGTGTCGTTCAAGCAGCGGCGAAGCGTCTTGGCTCGCCTATAGCCCCACCAAACAATGTTCTAAGGACCTTCCTGTGGTTTCCACGAAATGTTTTTAGAACATGTCTGGCGGAGTCTGTCTTGTTTTATCACATCGGGTTTATGTTCTAAGAACATTGTTTTTGTAATTAAAACTTCTTGGGGGTTCGAAGAACATTTCGTGGTATGACTATAGGAATGCCGGGACGGTCGGTCCCTGCTCAAGGCGTGGCGACCGGCGGCGGCCCCGCCGCCGGCGTCGCAGCGATGGATGAGACTGCGTGCGCTGATCAAAAGCAGCGACAGACCAGACGCCCTCGGGTTGTGACAAAGTCACGACGGGAGTTTTTCTCTCTATCTTCGGCCTCCGGGGGCCTTTGCATGGCCTCGGGACCGTCAAAAAACAATTCAGGATGGAAAGCTGGTCCCAGGAAGGGATCCAGACCTCCGGGTTCGACGCCTTGAAAAAATCACGACGTCGGGAGTTTGGATAGGAGAGAGGATGGAGGAGAAGCGACACCAACACCACCAGGGGGCCCACCTCTAGCGAGGAGGTCCACGATGCCTCCGCGAGCTGGAGGCTGGGTATGTCTCGAGCGAGAGGGGGGGACCACCACCAGGGAGACCCCCCTTGCCTCCTCGCATCTCCTCGCCGTGGTGTTTTAGTGTCGCCTCTCCTTGTTCCTAGAATCGAGCCGCTTCTCAGGAGCCACGTCAGGGGGCGGCAGGCACAAGGTCAACGCATCGACCCCCAATCGCCCATGGACCGCCGATGGGGCTCCGACAGCCCCGCCCCGCCCAGGAGCGTGAGGACTCGCTGTCGGGGGCCTAACACCGAGGCCGAGCACACGGAGGGTTCGTGCCGTCGCGACCAGCAGCGGCCCCGCCGCTGGCGTTCAACGATAGCCCATTGACACGCCGGCCGCTGAAAGTATATATTCTTGGGCATCCATATCCAAATCCATTTCAAGCGCTTTCCTATTTCAAGAATAGCTAGCCTCTTGGTAACCGATGAGATCGCGCGGACCTGGCGGCACCTAGCGCCGACAAGCGTCGAGTTGGCGTCGAAGTCTCGTCGATCAGCGTCGATCGTATGGGAGGCATGCATCGGGTCGACTGTCGGCGGCCCCGCCGCTGGCGTTCCACAAAAAACGCAGCCGGCGACTCAGAAGATGGCGACGTTTAACGATCTCACGCTTCGGAAACGGCCGATCCTCCAGGGTCGAACGATCCGCGCAGCGTCAGGAGCCCGCGTCGAGGTCGGTCCGCAGCCATTCCGGCTCAAGGAGGACACTTGCCGAGGCCGCTGGCCGGGGTCAGCCCCGGACCCGCCCTCGCCAGCCGGACACCGCACGCAGAGGTCGGGCCTGCTCTTGCCACCAGAGCACTCCAAGTGCCGAGGTCCTGCGAGGACACTGCTCAGGAGGGGGAGAAAAACACACAAACACAATGTCTCGTCGATTCCCAAGAAAATTTTGGGAAATGTGGGAATTGGGCGGGAAGACAAAAACCCAGAAAATATATCAAAATATAGGGGGTCTTTTTATTTGTGTGTATTTATTTGTGTGTCCCAGGGCCCCTTCAACTGCGATGTTGCTTCCGTTGCCAGAACGATGGGTGGCCGCAAAGGCCGGCGCTTTCGCTTTTCTGAGGAGCCGTCCGTTGCTAGAGGCCACGGGCGTCGTCGGCGAGAGCATCCCTCCTCGAGCTCGCTTGGCAGGTCTCGCTCCGCTTCGCCATCGCGACCGCATGGCCGACCACATTCTTCGACACGTTCGGCGACGACCAGCCAGAAGATTGACACACTCATTGGCAACATCGAGACTCTCTCTCCCTCTCTCTCCGTCAGGCCGTTACGGATCAGCATTTGGACATTGATGTGATCAAGATAGGGTGGACGCGATCAGTGGAGAGGTGTTCTCAGCTTGTGGATCAGATGGCGCTGATGACTCGGGAGTACACCACACGACATCAGGAGCTCCAGAATATGGTTTCCACCTCGCTTGTGGACCACTGCATGCAGATCATGAGCTCGGAGTTCACTGCACAATTCCAGGCCACTACCCGCTCTGAGAGTTGGCGATTGACAGCCAGGACAACGCCATCCAGATGAAGATGGAAGCGAGTGAGATATCCTTGAAGGATTTTGCCGGCAGAGTGCAGCGGAGAAGCTTGTCTTCGACACCATGTCGAGTGCGATTCCGCCTGCTTTGTCGAGTGCGTCCGCGTGGTATTCTGTTGATCGGCTGGCTCAGGCGCAGGACCAGACTTGCAAGCTCGTCATCGTAGGACCCCCTCGGAAGATGTGTGTCGCCGTCTTGAGGGCCATTGGCAGCGCGTGCCGCAATGCCCAGAAGACCGTAGTAGGTGCATTCGACATTAATCAAAACATCACGCTGAACTTCGGGACTCCTCGTGCAGCGTCGACCTTCCACGACAACTGCAATGCGCAGAACGGGCCGTGGCAACGCCCTGACCCACACCCATATGTGAGACTCCGCCGCGACCTCGATTTCAACGGTCGCCAGGCTTTTCTTGTTCTAGGCCGGGCGCGCAGCCTCATTGTGGACCTTGTTCGGCCCCCCCGGGTTTTAGGTCGGGAGCTCTGGGCCCAGGGTTTGCGTTTACGTGATTCGGGGCCCGCACGGTCCAGCGCAACATGTCCACATTTCGGCCAACGAGCAAGGGGTCGTCTCAACAGAGATAGATCGCGACGCTTTGCTTGAGTTTGGCATCGCTAAGCATGCAGCAGAGCTTGAGAGCGCAGCACAGGTCCTGTTGCGGCGCCCCTTTCGGCGCTGAACCACACTGCTTGAATGGTCTTTGCTGTTCACTTCCGCCCTCGCCATCTCCCCCTCACACCCAGCGGGCGTTCACGAATCGCGCGCGCTGCCTGCGGTTCGCAGCAGCGTTGGGGGCCACCGTTGGCTGATGCCCAGACGGCGATGCGGGTCGGCGTCGGCAGCGGCCCCTCTCTTCGTTGAGTGACGATGTGGTGGTGAATGGCATGGACTATTTCCTTTTTGCTCTTGCTTTTTCGGCACGCGCGTGGAACCGTCGGGCGCCGATGAGGTCGGTGCGGTCTTCGAACCCTCTTGCTGCTCGCAAGTACCTCAAATACGTGCAGGTACTAAAGACATCTTACAAAAAACATCACAGGAGACACGCGGTCACGCAGGTGACATCAATGAAGTGGAGCGTGAGCTCCGCACGCATAAGTTCGGCGTTTCCTTCTTCGACGACTCCTGCCGCGCGGGCGGATGCATCGCAGCTGTTTCTCCGAAGCTCGCTGCTCACGTCCAAGAAATCCGGCGCGAGGTGGTGATCGTTGGTCGGATCCTGAAATCCATTCTCCTTAGGGGCTCTGGGAATCCTTTGATTTACAGCGCCCATATGCCTAACACTTGCGACCCGATGCCGATTTTCAGTTGAGCGTTGGATCGGCTGCGGCCGGGTTCTTTCGCCTGCACCGGGCTTGCGGGCTCTGGGATGTTTGTGCGCTGTCTGATAACGGGTGACTTAAATTCTGCATTGGATGTAAAAGGGCAATCTTCGGGGTGATAGTCCCGGGTAGTCCGCCGGTGGATCTGCCCGGCCCAAGGTTTTCGACGAGTTGTTCTTTTCCGTCGCGGAGATTTTCCAGGGCCATGACCTTCGCCGCGGGATGCTTTGGGAAGCGGTGCATAACGCTTCGAGGATCGACCACGTCTACACTGCGCCCCCCCCTGGCTGGGCCCACGCGGGACAATTCTGCGAGGGCCAGCACCATCGGGGCCCCAGAGTCTTTCATGCTCAGTGACCACATCACCGTCTTGGCCACACGAAGCTCATCCCCCCCCCACCCTACCCACATCCCGCCCCTCGCTCCCGACGATGGCCCCGTGGATCGCTGGACCCCCTGAGTTCGAAACATCTCTGGACGCGCGCATCGGTGAAATCCCGTCGCCCTGGTTTTGAACAAATTGAGTCATGCGAAGGACTGCTTTTATGAAGCAGCCGAGGCAACACGCGCTGCTCTCCTTTCCCGTGGCGCTCGTACTATTCAAGAGCAGCGCCATTGATCTCTCGCTGCCCTCCGCGCGCCTCGGCCCAGTCAGGAACGGTGGCTTCGCGCTGCAGTTCATTGCTAGTCCCTGGCTGATGATGAATTTCCAATGCCGCCTTGCCGCGGTGCATCCACTTAGCAGGTTTGCGCCGGCATGCGCAGGCTCTACATTGCAAGATGTCAAGGATGAGGAACAGGAAATCGGGAAAGCTGAGGTTGATGAGGAGACGAGGAGGCCGACGGCTGCTCGCCTCGCCCGCCGACAACAAGAGCTCTGGAGGCGCTTCCGGGAACGGATTCTCTTGGCCGCAGTGCGCGACTCCTCAGGAGATGTTTGCAGTGCTCGGGAAAGTTCCGCCGCTGCTCTCGGGGGCTACTGGCGCGACATTTTCAAGGCCCCCTCGGCGGGCACCAACCTTTGGGGCGAGAGCAACCCCCTCATTCAGATCCTCGAGGGCCCCCTAGGGATCGATCGGGCGCCCCCCCTGCAGCGCGCGGTACGAGCTCATCCTCAAAAGTCACCATGGCTTGCTCGGGCCCGACTGGGTGCTGTACTGTGTTTGGGTGATCGATGAAGCCTCTCGGCTGTTATATGGCGCATACTTCAAAGCGTTGACAGATCAGGCCCACTCGCTCCCCTTTTAGATACGATCGAGCTGGCTCGTTTTTCTCCCCAGTGGCTTGGACACTCGCGACTCTCTTGGTTGCTCTGACATATTAAAACATCCGTCGGCGGCTCGACCAATGAGCATGAACAGCACTGATATCAAGTTGCGTGCGACTGCGAACCGGTCGCATCCGAATGACGATCGCCATGCTTGGGCGAAGGGTAGAGACATGCTGGCGCACGTCGTCCACGCGTAGACCTGGGGCATTACTCAGCGCGTG